TCATCAAAATTAGAGAATTGAAGATATCAACATGAAATGAACAAACTAAGAGAGGTCTACCCAAGGTACATATACACCAAGTATCAAAGCATTCAGGCTTGTAGTTTTCAAGAAGAAGTCGAAAAAGTAAAACATTGACACAGACGACGGACGATGACGACGACGACGGACGCCGACGGACAATCACTCATATGATAAGCTCCGCTCGACAAAGTCGACAGCGGAGCTAAAAAGGCAGTGCAGCCAGACGGCTACTTTGTAGCCACGTGTTCATTGTTTGTTTGTGGACAGGGTGACCTTTGCCATTTCACTGTTTCATTTCAAGTGTAACTTGGTGCGTGTTCTCTGCCCGACTATACGCCATGAATGTCGCTAGCCACGAGTCTCAGAGGCACGAAAAAAACGTCCTGTAATTGTGTTCATTGGAAAACAAAACAAATCACTAATAAATTTATGAAAACAGCTTCTTTTTCAATCGATCAAAAAGTACTCTTTTAATTCGCGCACCAAAAACCAATAATTTCCGTTTTTACGCTATTAAATTGTGCACTTGAAAAAATAATTATTTTTACTACCGCGAATTAATCGAGTTTTTACGGTAGTTGCCTGTCCCTAAGGTCTATGATAGAACACATTATCTAAATGATACAACCGTGAATTTCAAACCCACTGAATATGCCTGAAATGGTAAATCAGCGAAATTTAAACCCAGTGAAAATTAGTAATTTTACTGTAACAGTACTTTGTGTATTCTCAAGATAACCTCATATCAAGAAATGATTTTTATAAACTGGATGGCATTTGAATTGCGCTATGGAATAAAACAAGATGAATCAGTAACCAAGCATGTGCATGGAATGTTGAATGAAATCAACAAATGCCGGAGCACGCCTGAGAAACAAGAGACACGAACTATGGAAACTAGTCAGTTAAATCAGAAAAATATAAATCACTTCTTCAACTGTAGACAAAATAAGGCAATCTTACCTATCGCTGATGTCATCCTGTTTGTTAGTTTGTTGTTCTAAAAGCAATTTACTCATCAGTTCATTGGTTGGATGTGATGTAGACTTTCCTGGAGCTGACAAGGCTGCATTTAGGAATTCTTCAAGTTCAGAAGAACTGCACATTGCCAGGCGACTGTACACTAATAAAGAACATAACATAATCAGTACCATTTATTAATAACAAAAGAACCACCGATGTTTGAGTTTAACGCCCTGAGACTTGTCATCGTTCACTTATGTAAATTTATTAAGTAAGTAAAATTTACAGAATCTACACAAGCTCGGGACGACAGATTAACACATTGCTGCTGAAAGTTTCCATGGTTTGCCAAAATAAATAGCAGAAAATGCATTAATGTAGAAATCCTAATGTCATCATAGCAGTTGTGCATATCTAGATGTGTTTCATGCTACAGTTAAACAAACAGCAAAGTGGTAAGGGTAAAATGGACTCACCTTTCTCCATATTCAGACTGCTTAAAACAATTCCCTGTGTCTTCAAATCATCAAGTAAGTCTTTCAGAGTTTGCTTTTCTAGTTTATCAGATTCACAGATTTCTATAATTGATTTGTTTACTGGAAACAATTTATATTTAAGAAATCAATGAATTATCAACAGTTCCATGTAAGTGACATCAGTATAAAACATTATCCTCTTTGTGACACTGGTAAATAAAGCTGAGGTAAAATACCCCTACATTGTAGCATTAATTACCGGTAGCTTGCAATCAGTTTCCCTCCCTTCCATCACAGAACCAATCAACATACAGATTTCTGAAACAAGCACTGATTGGTCATTTGATTTTATGACATTTACTCATGAATATGCAAATCATAGCTGACAAGCAAATTAAAGCATTCTTGCTGTATATTTTGTGCAGCAGAAACATACTATACTTAAGCAATAACCCCCGCCAAAGGCGAGTTTACCACGAGATATTGCACAATTCGCGACATATATGCAGAGCCGCAGACGAGTGCATATATGGAG